TGCAATTTTCAGACATGTTGGTTGGGAAAAATGAAAATTCTAGTCCAATGCACCAATAGAACATGAAGGTGGAGGAGGGTAGCACAGTTTTTCAAGTACAACCTCTATCCATTCAGGCTTGCTATCTAGTTGCTTTTTGTATGAAGAGAGCCTTTACCATTTGGATTACTGTCTATCTCACAGGGGTGGAGGTGCTGATAAGAGAGTCCACTCTGAAGTCTTAGGGATCCTTATGTCTATAGGAGAATTTACTGCTGATATGCTTGGCAGTGCTACCAGTGAGAATGAGAATGCATCCTACATGATCATTACGATCATTCCTTGTCATCCTTACAACATTTATAGAGCTTCCTCTGCCTTTGGCCATACTGAGGAGTTAATAACAATGAAATCTGTATCAGTTAATGTCACAACCCTCACAGCATCTCTCAATATAAACAGTCACTCACTACTCTAGAGCCCCTGGTGGTACAGTGGGTTAAACCCCTGTGCCGGCAGGATTGAAGACCAACAGGTTGCAGGTTCAAATCCGGAGAGAGCGCGGATGAGTTCCCTCTATCGGCTCCAGCTCCTCATGCAGGGACATGAGAGAAGTCTCCCGCAAGGATGTTAAAACATCGCAACATCTGGGCATCCCCTGGGCAACGTCCTTGCAGATGGCCAATTCTCTCACACCAGAAGCGACTTGCAGTTTCTCAAGTCGCTCATGACACGACCAAAAAAAATAAAACCTCACTACTCTCATTGTAAGCCAGTCCAGGATCCAAGCAAATGCAGATTCAAAAAGAAACAATGCAGGTGTATTTCAGAAGTTGTAGTCAGTAGTCCATTCCAAAGGTCCTCACCAAAACATCCCAAATCTATGTGTAATCCAAAGTTCCCAAAGCCAAGGTCCAAAACACAATAAGGCACACAATATAATCAAATAGAACTCCAAGCAGGTTCGAAACATTGCTCTGATCAAGACCAAATCCAAACTGCCACTCTTTATGCCTCTTAGCACAAGTGCTCTCACCTGTTAGACCTTTTCTGTGTCAGCTGGGTGGGTCTGCGCAGCTGAATAGCACCATATGCAGTCTTTCTGGGATACTTAACTTTGCCTCATTGCTCTCCTGATCTGAGTTAACTCAGAACTCCCACTTGCCTGAGGCACTTGATCCTGCACTGGAGGGATAGCTTCCTCAGTGTCAGGCTGCTGCAGCTGTTGTTGTTTATTGCTTGTTATTGACTTGGATGCTGGGCCTGGCAGCCCTTCTGTATTGCAGACCCTGACAGTCGACACATAGATAGCACAGTTTATGATTACTCCAACTGAACAGAAGCTTGAGTCCATATTATAACCTATTATAAGGTCGTGATGGGCAGCGAAAATGTATTCTTTCTCTCACATCAGTGTATCTTCAAAATAAAACAAACTTAACAAAAGAGTGATAACTTTATTACCTAACCAAAATGTGTAAAAACACTTAAAGCAAGCTTTTGAACCATTTGTAGTTTTCTCATCAGATACTAGATGTTTAAAAATTATATACTAAAAGAAAAGTGACAGTATTGGAGTCACGGACTCTAGTCTGTATCAGATGTTATTTCTGTTTTAGTTCAGTTGGCCTTGGGGGATTATCTGGTCAATGTAGGCCAGTGGAACACTTCTAAATGAGGAGTCCCTCACAATTTGCCATAGAAAGGCAAGTAGCCTTCTGTGGCAACCCGCAATGTATTTTGGAGATGAAATTATTTGTGTTAATTCCATCTTGGACATCATATTCTATTCAGTATCTTTTATTACAATTACAATTATATATTTTTGCATCAAAGAGTCCAGAAATGAAGGTAATTCTAATAGTTTCTGTAGTCTCCTCTCTAGATCATTGATTCCAAGAGTGGTACTGAATAACTGTTTTCGACTTAGTCTTTGAGTTCAGGAATGGTTCATCTTACCTCCTCTGCTTTTTACCTTCTTTATGAAACTTCCAGGAGAGGTAATCTTATTAAACCAGTGGTTCCCAATCTCTCTCTCTCTTTCTCTCTCTCTCTTTTTTTTTTTTACCACAGACCATTCTCCAACATTAGTACCCAAAGGGTTACAAATCTGTTTTTGGTCAACTTTAGATTTGGTTTGGTTATTTGGGGTTCTGATCCATAAAATTGCATTGGACAGACCACATCAGCTTTACTTTCTGATACAGAACATATGCCATCCAGTAGTCACCATCTGCTTGCCCACAGAAATCCATATTTAATAAACTAGAGCTGATGTGGTCTATCCAAGCAGTTGGGGCTGGTCAGCAACAGGGAAGGAGTGGCAGGCGGTGTGAAAGGAGCGGAAATGAATAAAATAAAATAAAGAGGAAGGAGGCTCGCGGACCAGATTTTCATCCTCGTGGGTCACTAGTGGTCCACAGCCCAAAGGATATTCGCTGCATTAAGCATATTAATATGCTGATGATATGCAGCATTGTTTCTTTTATCCATCAATTGATATTAGACAGGCAAGTTACAGTAAACTGTGGCCTGTTCTTTGAACATGGGTCTCATGTACGTGAGAGAAGAAAGACATGCTGTTCGCTTGGATTCCCCTTGTGTAGATTGAGATCTTCATCCTGCACTAGAGGAGAAGAAGTTGAACTTCTGAATCAAGTATATCATTTGGAGGGCAATCCTGTATATCATGACACTTCTGTATCTTTTACAGCTTAAAATGGATATGGCCTCAGCCATGCAAGCATGGAGTTTGAGAAAGTGCTTTTTTTGGATGACAGCTCGTAGAATTCCCTAGGCTACATGGCCAGAGGGATTCTCAGAGCTGTCAGCCAAAATGACAAGATTTCTAATCTTCACTTGTGCATTAATCACATTTTAATAAGAATACTGCCATGTTCTACACATGGGGTTGCTTTCTAAAAGACATTTCAAACTTGACTTACTACATGATATGCAGTTGTCAGTTTTGTCAGTAGAATGACAGGTGGAATACAGTCATACTAAAATATAGTTAAGAAATCCTCTTGGTAAAAAAACCTCTCTTTTTATGCAGGCTTCCAATCTACCATTACATTTTCTTGTTCAAAAACCACTGCTCATAAGTGTCCCATATTTTACCTCAATGAAGCTCTGCAACTGGATATTTCCTTTTCTAATGTCAGATTTGTGTTCTATCCTTTTGATATAAAGTGTAGAGAAGCATTCCTGACATATAATGATGCATATTACATTGGAAGAAGAGCAAGCAAATACACCTCTGATATTGTGGGTGGTGTCACTGGTTCATATAATATTACTCCCAGAATAGATGTGGGAACAGAGTTGCCACCTGGGAGGCAAAGTCTTGTCCTATATTACCAGCCATGTTATGTATCCTGTTGTTGGTGAATAGTTTTTTTTAAACATTGGGTGATTGTAAAACAGTAAAGGCCTGCCTCACAGAGCCTATAAGAAGGCTATTTTATTATCTAGAATTAGTTGTAGCCCATTAATGACACATTTGAATGGCCTTAGCTTGGGACTGTATGTGACAATTAGTAGTGAGGTGTCGCTTTCTGGTACTGTAGTAGATTGTTTCTGGATACCAGTCCCACCTTATTCATGTATTTTTTTCAAATCCAAGAATTTTTGAGCCACCATCCCGTGGGTCTGAGCAGATGAAATTGGGCTTTAATGTAAACAAAATATTTGATAGTGTGTTCTGGGTGGAAGCTGGAAGCATGTAAATAAGTGTAATGATCAGTGGGTTTTCAATACAGCCATGTGCTCAGAAATCCATAGTGGTGTCAAGAAAGTAAATTGTTGTGTGGATTATGGATGATGAAAGTAAAGAAAGAACAAAGCAAACCCATAGCAAGACTTGAATTATACTATTATTGTTGGTTTTGATGCTTGTCTTGTTTTATATATTGTTAAATATTGTTTTTATGTTGTTTTATATTGATGTTATGCATTTTATGTATTACGTTTTAACTCTGTTGATTGGGCTTGGCCCAATCCAGGGAGATGGAGGCAGGGTATAAAAATAAATTATTATTATTATTATTATTATTATTATTATTATTATTATTATCTTCTATGAATTTTGGAAGAAGCCTTCAAGTCATCTGTAGAAGGCTCAAAATGTTTTTGTTTACTTATAAAAGGTTCACTTAATGTGACTGATTTATTTCACATGTGGATATTGTTAAGCTTGAATATGTTAACTTGCTCTTCTTTTTTGTCATGTACCCTTATTCCTTCAATATTATTTTTGATGCTGGAACCAGCATCTAGGCAAGGGAAATTTAGTATAACGCCAAATTTGTAACTTTGTTTGTGGTTTATCTATACATTATAACTATATTCTCCATTCGCTTCTGACACGATAAGTAAATAAATAAACCAAATTATCTATTAAAGACGCAATGTTCGGGAACAGATATCATTTTAACAGATAAATGTTCCAGGTTGTACATCTCTGCCAGTATACATTTCCGATTGGGTTGAGTTTAAGTATTGCTGCTGCTAATCTTTATGGCTGTTAATGATCTGGGAACCTGATGTCTAAAGGCCTTCTTTTATCCACATGAACCTAAGGCACTAAGATCGATTTTGGAGGCATTGCTCCCTGATTTGTCCCTAATGGATATTTTGTCATTGGGTGCCAAGTATTTCAGCAGTGGTGTAAAAGTTCTACCATGATCTGTTTGGTCAATTCTGCACCTGTTTATCTTCAGCAATAGTGTAGCACAAGGTGTAGATGTTTTAGTTGGTACAATTTGTGTGGTCAACAATTATATACCCCAGCCTTCCCCAACCTAATGCCTTTATTGTGTTTTGGACTACATGTGCCAGGATCCCTTGCCACTGTCCATTCTGGATGAAGGTGATGGGGACTGAAACCCAAATATTTAGAGTGCACCAGGAAGTAGAAGGCTGGTCTAGAATCTGTACAGTAATAGGCAACATGTAAAACATGTGTACTTACTTTGTTTTACAGTGTAATTTTTTTACAACAGTGACAAATTCTTTTGCAGTGTTTCTGAGTCTGATGGTTGCCAACATGCCGACAATAGTGTCCCAACCGTTCCTGACGTGAGATCTCCGACACCTCAACCATCTACAGAGGAAGAGCAACCTGGCCAGGAGAAAAAGAGATTGACACTTGAAATAAAGAGGTACTGTTCATACCAGTTGTCAAAAGAAACCTTGGCTTTTCATGTTATCTTGGTTCCAATAGAATTATTTTGTTTCCCCTGTGTTACAAACATTTGTTTGCTATTACACTATGTAAAATGATTTTTGTTCCTGGGTTATAAATGTCATTTCCTAATTGGTTCTATCATAAAAAACATGGAAAGGTTTATTAAATTGCAAAAACTTTGTTTTTGCTGGACACCTTGCAGCACATTTTGCTTTAGTTTTTCAATGAACATCTCATAGAATTACAACCAATTCAAAATAGTTTGTGGTAGTGAGAAAAACGAAGTTTCTGGACTATAACAACTACTTCCAAAGTAAGTACTACACAATTAACAGGAAATAACACTTTCAAACCAGGAGCAGATTGGTTTTTTTTGTTACATAGTGTTATTTGAGATAGTGAATTATTTAAGTCAGTTGCATGTGAAGGAATAGATTCCTCTTCTCTCAAGGTAGAGGTTTATACACAGAAAGGTAAATTGCAGCTGATACAACTTTGAGACAATTTTTAACCAGTAGGACTTCAAATGAAGCAAACATTGAACTGGTTTCAAAAATGCACTGGCTCCTTTTTCCTCCCATCTGATTTGATGAAAAAATAAAGGTGAGCTCATTTTGGGTCATGAAGATACTTCTCTGTTCCAGTGAAGTGAAATCAGTATCTCATTAACATTATATGATTCACGCGTTGCTGTGGCCCAGTCTGGAGATCTGGAAAATAGAGTAATGAGAAAGTGTTGGTTTCTAATATAGGTAATGTCTTTATGCTTGTGGGTAAACAGTATTTCTTGCTGTTTCTTTGTCAGTGTTGATGTGGGAATTGTCTGGTTTGCCCACTCTGGAACATGCAACATATAATTGTCCTTCTTTAGGAGTTCCTTTCAAATCTGTGATACTATATCTCTCTGTGTGTGAATCATATCTATCTATCTCTCTGATATGCAGGGTGTATTTTCATTCACTGGAACAAATTTGACATAAATACCAGCTATGCCCAAACTTGAATATTGGTGGGGTTGGGGTGTGTGTGTGTGTGTGTGTGTGTGATTTTGTCATTTCAGAGTTTTAGTTGCTGGGATTTATAGTTCTCCTACAATCAAAGAGCATCCTGAACTCCACCAGCAATGGAATTGAACCAAACTTGGCACACAGAATTCCCATGACCAACAGAAAATACTGGAAGGGTTTGGTGGGCATTGATATTGAGTTTTGAAGTTGTAGTTTGCCTACATCCAGAGAGCACTGTGGACTCAAACAATGAYGGATCTGGACCAAACTTGGCAAGAATACTCAATATGCCCAAATGTGAACACTGGTGGAGTTTTGGGAAAATAGACCTTGACATTTGGGAGTTGTAGTTGCTTGGATTTATAGTTTACCTACAATCAAAGAGCATTCCGAACCCCACCAACGATAGAATTGGGCCAAACTTCCCACACAGAACCCCCATGATCAACAGAAAATACTGTGTTTTCTGTTGGTCTTTGTTGACCTCTCTGACACCCCCTCATGACCCCCAGAGGTCTCAAGAAATGCTGCTATTCATAATATATGATTGCACATTGGCAAAAAAAGCCCCCACCTTTTTCTTTTTGCTGTCATCCAGATATTGGCATACTATCTGGTAGATTCTGGGAACTGTAGAGAAACTCTTTTCTAAGCTCTGTACATCATAAAGATTATATGTGAGGTGGTTTATATTACTTCATTTGAAGCCAGTATCATTGAAATGCTTCTCTTCCCCTAAATCACCTTCATCAACAGAGTTCTAGTACAAATAAGGCCCAACCCACACACAACTTGAATGTTACACATCATGCTAACTGCAGATGTAGCCATTCATTTTGTTGCCATGAAACCATAGTGGATGTTTTTGTGATCACAAAAGCCAGCTATAAATCATGACATGTCAAAAGATTTTTTAATTCAGCACCAAAGGGATTTGCATCGGTTGTAGTCTTTCCCTCCCTGCCCAGTCTGTAATTCTGCTGAAATGAGATGCATGCTCATGTCTTATGCCGGGTGCAAAAAAGGGAGAGGGCTCTGTTTTGATTCTGATTAATGGCTCATATGACTTATGATTTTGCACCCCCATTAATGGAAAGGTCATACTGTGGAACTGAGAATATTGAACCATGCATTCCCTGGGGGACTTGTTTTCCTCCACCCCACCAATTCGATCTGGCAGCTTGTGACAATTGCTCTGTGCGTTACCAGAATTCACAAGAAATGCAGGCATCCATCATGCATCAATTAACACAAATGGAAATGGCAAAAAATGTGATACATATGTTGCTATTCCTTCCACTTCAGCGGATAACAGTAGGAGGTCAGATGTCTAGGGTTGCAGGAATGATATAGAATGTGTGAAGCGTGCATTGAGCTGTTCTCTGAAATGTTTTACAGGAGACCTAAGACATCAGAAATTTGTTTTGGGTGTTACGACTGAATGCTGTTCTAAATTAGCAGAAAGAATGCAGCATGGGTTCTCTTACAAATTGTCGTTTTTCTAAAGAGAAAACGATGACTGTTTCCTAAACATTTAATAGTAATACAGCATGACCCCCTTAACCATGGATGTAATGTCAATGTTGAAACAAATATTTTCCCCAGAAGTGTTTCACTGTGATTCTGCGGTATGCTTTTGTTCCATTGTAGTCCAAATATAAGATTTGCTATTATTTCAAGTTTCAGGTATCCACATTGTGCCTTGGAATGTATCTCTCATAGAAGTGCATTTCTGAGAACTTTGCATCAGTTGTGCTTTCTTTTTCTTTGAGTTCCCAAGTATATAAACAGGAAGCAAAAAAAGATGTTTTTTATTAATTCAAGAGGTGGCAGAATGAAACATTTGATCACGCTTTTGCAGAGATTGCCTCCATTAAGATATATTGTGTTGTATGTGTGTGTGTATTCAACTGCTGTTTTGTAACTAATAATAATAATAATAACTTTATTTGTATCCCGCCCTATCTTCCCATGGGGACTCAGGGCGGTTTCCAACACATCAGACAAAGATTCAATGCCAATGTCAAAAACAATGGCCATAAAATTTGGACAGAAAAAACAACACTAAACATTGTACGTTAGAAAGTTAAAGTAAGCAATTTACATCAGATAATAACAATTTGAAAAGCCAGCCTAGCCAGTGTCATTCCAGTTCCATTCCGCTTAGTCCGTACTATGGATTTTATACCTCTTCCTCATTATATGCTTGTGAGCATAAAAGGTTTTAAGCAATTTTTTAAAAGAAAGTGAGGGCCATTTTGATCTCCTTGGGGATGGCATTCCAATGGTAAGGGGTGACCACTGAGAAGGCCCCTCTCTCGTTCCCACCAGCCATGTTTGAGATGGGAGTGGGACTGAGCGCAGGGTCTCCTCTGCCGATCCAAGAGCCAGGGCCAGCTTGAATAAGGTTTGCTAGATACTCTGGACCTGAAGTGTTTAGGGCTTTAAAGGTAATAACCAGTACTTTGTATTTAGCCTGGAAACAAGCTGGCGACCAGCGTCGCTGCCGCTGCAGGGAAGCAATTCTCTCCCTGTGCAGAGCCCCAGTTAGTAATCTGGCTGCAGATCTCTGTACCAGTTGAAGCTATCGAACTATCTTCAAATGCAGCCCCACACAGAGTGTGTTGAAGTAATCTAAACAGGATGTGACTAAGGTGTGGACTACCATAGCCAGATCTGGCATCTCAACGTATGGGTGCAGCTGGCGCACAAGTTTTAATTGTGCAAAGGCAATCCTGGCCAACGCTGACACCTGACACTCTAGGGTCAATTTTGATTCCAGGATTACCCCCAAACTGTGAACCTGTTTCTTCAGGAGAAGTATAACCTCATCCAGTACAGGCCGTAACCTTATACCTTGATCTACCTCCCAGCCAACCAGGAGCGCCTTTGTCTTGTCAGGATTCAATTTAAATTTATGAGTCCTCATCTGGTCCATTACTGATGACAAGCACCAGTGTAGGATCAGGACAGCATCCTTGGCTTTTGATGGAAAGGAGTAATAGAGGTGGGTGTTATCTGCATTAATATGACACCGAAGTGCAAAACTCAATTTCTGCATGCAAATATGCATTCTAAAGAAGATTAAAACAGAAAACCGTTTGAACAGGGAAAGACTCAAGGCTATTTAAACAAAGAAGTACAGGCAGTCCCTGAGTTACAAACATCTGACTTAGAAATAACTAATGAAGAACGGAGGTGAGACAACAGGAAGTGAGAAAAATTTCAGTCTCGAAAGAGTTATCATCGGGGAAGATGTCTCCACTGAAACTTCCTCACCAATCCTTGTTTTCATGACAAGCCAAAATCCAATTGTCACAAGAACAGGAAGTGAAGTGAAATCTTCTGAACAGGGGCACGGACTGCAAAAAAAACCCAAAAAAAAACACCACAGGGGTTTGTTTAACCCTTCCCTATGCTATCCAAAGCTAGAAAAAAAGATAGATAGATAGATAGATAGATAGATAGATAGATAGACTTTAGAAATATACCTGTTCTGACTTACATACGAATTCAGCCTAAAAACAAACCTGCAGAACCTATCTTGCCCATAACTTGGGGGCTGCCTGTATAAGACTATAGTCCTACGCTTACTATGCAGTCTTATCCATTCCACTCGATTAGGTTGGCTTCTGGGTCAGCATGTATGGCATTGCACTGCATAGATAGTTGGAATGAAAATATGAGAAGGGAAAAACAGAGGCAGAAACATTAGCTGAAGGAGTCTTCGGGCATAAGGAACAGCAAAGAGATAATATGAAATAGGCTGTTGAAAGGGCAGAGTAATATTCGCAGAATGAAGAGTCGAGTCTGCAACTGTGAAAAGAGATTAGGCTGAGTGAGATCATGGAGAGATAAGTAAGTATCTGCTTAAACATAATATGGAGTGTCATGTGTAGAAAACCTTTAGAAAACCAAAAGAAAGGCAGGAGGAATTCTGAACAAGATTGCTCAAATTGGTAGATAA